ATAATTCATATTTACCAACATACAAATGTCCTGAAAACATTCTGAAACCCACCATCCTTGTCAATCAAGTCCAAATCACTGAAATTGACAAAGAAACCTTAAACTTTGCCTACTCAATGTCCATTATCCAAATCAAAACAGACCTGGCCTCTTTCAACTGTCCATGCCTTGTTTGTGATATGATGACATGTCAAACTGCTGCCCTACATACTTTCAAAAATTGTCCAATCCTATAGCAATCCAATCTCCTCTGCCAAATTTCATAAACTTCTGTCAAGTGAATAAACGTGCCCAAAACACACTTGCAAAAATAAATAAACCAGTAAACCTTGTTCATACAGAAACACAGAGTGGAGAGAACAGTGGCATGAGGCGCAAGTCAAGTCAGTGGATCCCTTCTGAGTGGCGACAACAGAAACATGCCCCCCCCCCCCCCCCTGCCTGTTAGTGGAGGCAATGGAGATGCAGACCAGTCAATGGATCCCCTGTTAGTGGACATGAGGCAACGCTTTGTGCTCCCCCCCCCCTTAGTGCTGGATACAAGGTGACCACTGGTGAGTCACTTAAGGTGCAAAGAAGAAAGCTTGTTGCATCAGTGTACGTTCTCTAGTACCATGAAATTCTTTCTGAGGAGCCTTTTTTTGCATTCAATTGCATAGCTGTAGAAGGANGCAACCGACACTCAACATCACCTCATGAAATATCTTTTGCTTTAAATCAACATTTCTTTTATTCCCAATAGTCTCCTTCATCCTGACTTTCAAGATTTCACAACTTTCTCTCATCATGGCTCCAAGATCCTCAACACCTCTTGCTAGCATCATTGCCCATGCCTTCCACCCCAAGGTATCCTATGTTGACATCATGTTCCTCCATGATCATCAACTTTTCCCCAACTTAACTGATGAAATAAACAATGCTTACAGCGTGACTTTTGACTTCATGGGACTCCTCTCTGGAGACAGCTCTGCTTTTGCCAAGCAGCATTTGACCCTATCAACAATCCATTACAAGATTTTTGATAACATAAAACAAAATGCAGTCAACTCCTCCACATCACCAGTTGTATTGACCATCTCATTGAAAACAACAAAATGTTGTTCATGGTGGCCACTGCCAGCAGTGGAACACTTTGAAAGATCCATAAAGATATCTATATCTTCACCTGCCTCAACCATGTTCCCAAGTCTGAAAACAAAAATACTCTTGTCCTCTACATTAACTGGTCACCCATCTACGTCGATGCAAGAAAAGTCTCTTATGATGTATACAACTTTGACATTTTTTCTGTTACCTCATGCCCTCCCCTCCTGATCACCCTGACAAATCAGCAGACCTGCAATAACACTGTGACTCAACCACCTGCTGTTGACCCAAACCTCCTCTGGCTCTTTACTGAAAATAGGAACATGTTGCAACAACAGGCTACAATGATCCAACAACTTGCACCAAAAGCCAAGACCTACAGCCTTGTTAACATCACTCCATTTGTTCCTATGAACTAACCAGCGCAAGTCCAAGATTGCTACAAGCTCAACATGACCCAGTATAAATACCATACTGCCAACACTCTTTCTGACATTACCGGCACGTCTTCCGCTCCAAATTTGCTTTGTCAATACCACAAAGATCCCCAAAATCCATCAACAGGTTTTGTGACTGGAGATGGCTCCTATTTTGTACTTGTTGACATTGGACTGCAAAGCAAAAAGAACTTCTTCCACACCACTGCCAATAAATCACTGGTGACACAGCATACAAAATTTACAACTGGTACACATGCTGCACTGCTCATTGCTCCAGATTTGGAAAATATTGTCATCCTTATCCTCCATGCTTCTGTCCCAAGAGTAACCACCCACACAGATTTACTTTAGGAATGAACCAAGAGGATGACCTAAACCCAACATTTGAAACCAAAATATCAACCAACTCAAGAATCATCTGGGATGTCATTCACACTGTCTTTACCTCCAAAGATAAATATTGACATATCATTGAACTTCATAACAGCCACAAAACAGAACCCCCTCCTCATCAAGTCTCCTTCAATGTTGGTCACAACTCTCCCTACTCAAGACCCTTTCCCTCATAGAATATTGGAAGAAGTACAACCATTACATCATGCTTTGTGCATTAATTGAAGGCAACCATATACGACAAAAATGAACTCAAACACTTCATAAATGGATGTATATACTCTTCCTTCCTTCAAACAGAAATAAGTCGTGAACAAGACTTTCATCACCTCAAACATAAATTTGAACTGTCCAACTTTGTTGCCACACTCCAACAGTATTTGAATTTCCCAAATAGCCCACCAGTGCAAGTAACTTCTGTTGCATGATCGCTGACCAGAAAATATAATTCATATTTACCATCATACAAATGTCCTGAAAACATTCTGAAACCCAGCATCCCTGTCAATCAAGTCCAAATCACTTCCCCCCCCTTAGTGCTGGACACGAGGCGACCACTGGTGAGTCACTTAAGGTGCAAAGAAGAAAGCTTGTTGCATCAGTGTACGTTCTCTACCATGAAATTCTTTCTGAGGAGCCTGTTTTTGCATTCAATTGCATAGCTGTAGAAGGA